ATAAAATCTTTTTAAAAAAATAAAAGAATGTATATGGGTCTGTCTCCCATATACATACAAAGGAAAGACCGTCTCCAAATCAGAGCACATGGGAGCTTAGCCCAGTTAACTCTGGAACCCATGTTGGTGAGAAGTAACAGGCTCAGTCTCGTTCCTGTTTAGTTCCAAGACACTTTCCTCCTGTGTATCTCCCCTTCCGGCCCCAATCCCACACACACCCTCTATTATACAGGGCTCCGCACTGGGGAGCCGAGAGATTAGGACTAATCCATCACACTGCGGAATAAACAACCACAGCGCAGGTCCTAAGGTTGCAGGGTCAGGAGCCTCCTTTCTTGGCTAGCAGGACAGTGTGTTAAACGCTGTCAGGATGACATGGAGAGAGAAGAAATTCTAGCTGGCCAACATCAGTGAATTTTTTAGATAACAGAAATTTATTCCTCTAAGTGTCAAAGCTTTTAAAGGATGTTAATCATTTGTAATATAGGAAATCCACCCCCCAAATTCTCCTTGTCTTTTAAGTTTTAAGGAGGATATTTAACACCACTGATCCTCTCGTACCCTCTCTAGTATTGATGAAAAGTGCCTCTTCAAGATCAGCCCATGTATTTAGCATTATATCAGGTTATGGGCTCCATTAAAATCCCGACAAACAGAAATATGCTCCAAGGAGGATGGTTAGTATGTTAAAAGGATCTAAAAATAAAATCAAATGGGCCCTTAGTAATGCTTGACAATCTTATTCTACTTCCCTTGTCTCGTTTTCTCTCAAGTCAGGAGGGGGCAAACTACAGTTGACTCCCTATTTTTGTAAGTAAAGTGTTACTGGAACACAGTTGTGCTCTTTCACCTATCTATTGTGTGGGCTGCTCTTGCACTAAAACTGCAGAATTGGGTAGTTGCATGAGAGCCCACATTGCCCACGAAGCCTGGAATATTGACACTCTGGCCCTTTACAAAAAAATTGGCCAACCTTGCCACTGAAATGACCACTACATGTAGCCTTCTTTTCTTATACCTCCACAGCATCTTCTCGTATTCCCTACTCTCAGCTAATAACTTGACTTCTTTTTTTGGGAAATAGAAGCATTCAGAAAAGAATTTCCAGGAGTGCCTGGGTGGCTCAGTTGGTTAAGCATCCAACTCTTGATTTCAGCTCAGGTCATGATGTCAGGGTCCTGGGATCAAGCCGTGTGTCCAGCTCCCTGCTCTGCTGGGAGCCTGCTTGAGATTCTCTCCCTCTACTCCTCCCCGACCTCTCACATGTGCAAGTGCTCTCTCTTTCTCTCTCCCTCTCTCAAATCTTTAAGAAGTAAAAAAAAAAAAAAGGTGGCGCCTGGGTGGCTCAGTCATTAAGCATCTGCCTTCGGCTCAGGTCATGATCCCAGGTCTCTCACTGTGTCTCTCTCTGTCAAATGACTAAATAAAATCTTAAAAAAAAAAAGAATTTCCACATTTTCCTACCACCAAATGTGCCAGCCTACCTGCATATTTATCCCTGTACTTCACCTGCCCTCCTGCTACAGTGAGTGAAAAATTCACAGTCCTCTTTCTGATAGATCTTTATGCTCTCTTTGCACCTGAAGGCATTACTCCTAAAAATGCCCCCTCTCCATCCTGCATCATGAGGTTTCCCTCTGTGCTGGGTGATTTCTAATAAGATAACTAGACTGGAACATCCCTCACCATAAACAAGCAAGCAAGCAAAACTCCTTTCAACATCACTCCTTAGCTAGTGTCCTGTTGCTTGTAACAAAACTCAGAAGAGTTGTTGCTCATTCTTTGTTAAACCCCAAGCTAATACAGCTTTTTTCCCTACCACTTTTTTGGTCAAAAAAAAACTATCATCAAAGTCACCGATTACTTCCATCAAATTCTGTCAAATCTATCATTTCGAACCCATCTTACTTGATATTTCAGCAACATTTGATACAGTTTTTCTCTCCCTCTTCCTTGAAACACCTTCTTCACTACTCACCAGCTTCTCCTCCTGGATCCACTCTGTCTCCTTTTCTGACTATTTGTTGTCTTTCCAATATCCAAACAGGGGACTCAATTCTTGGATTTCTTCTCTTCTTTGCTTACATCACTCCACTGGTAACCTCTCTTACTCCTCTGGTTTTAAGTACCATCTACACTGATGCATCTGAGCCTCCAAATGGCCAACCCGGCAACAACACTTAGATACCTAATGGGCATATTCCTTCCCAGACATTCTTCCCCAGTCTTCCCAATCTCAGTAAACGACAACCCTACCTTTCCAGTTGCTCAAGCTAAATACCTTGGAGGCAACAAAATCTGTTGCTGTACCTTTAGAAAGTATTCAAATTCTTTTTTTTTTTTTGAAAGTTTTCAAATTCTAACCATTTCTCACCATCTCCACCACTACCACAAATTCCAAGACTTTGCTTCTCTGAAGACCAGTCTCCTTATGGGTCTTCTGGTTTCAGCTGCTTCTTCCCACCCAACAATGTTTTCTCAACCCAGAAGACAGAACGATGTTGTTAAAATGTAAGTCAGATGATGCCAGTCCTACATTCAAAACCTTCTCAAAGATTTCCATCTTGTTCAGAAAAAGAATCCAAACTCCTTACCCAGCCTGTAAGGACATGATGTGATCTGGTCCCACATCACCTCTTTGGTAGTCCCACCAGTCTCCCCCTTACCAACTCGGCTTCAGCCATGCAGTTTTCTTTACTCTTCCTTGAACATGCCAATCACACCCAGGCCTCAGCACTCTTGCACTTCTGTTCCTCTGTCTGACATACTCTTCCTCACTTCTTTTAGATCTCCGTTCAAATCTCATTTGACTAAAGAATCCTTCCCTGACATGTCTTGTCTTGGTAACACTCCAATCATTTCTCTTCCCCCTTGCCTGCCTTATTTTCCTTCCTATCATATACTACTAGATGATATATTATATGTATATATGTTATATAATCCACATCCCCTAGTGAATGTAAGCTTCATAACATGTGGGGTTGTTTTTGTTGTTGTTGTTGTTCAGTACTATATCCCTAGAACCTATAGCTCCTAGCTTGTGTTTGTTGCTCAAATGAAATCTGTTGAGTAAGTGAGTGAATGAATGAATGAATAAAATAGGGTGCTGGGAGGGCATATATGGGCAATATAAAAAGGAGAATATAATAAATATTGGTGTTTAAATGTTTGAAAAATTATCATATTGAAAAGAAATAGACATAGTTTCAGTTGCTTTAAAAGGTAAAACTAGGGGCACCTGGGTGGCTCAGTCGGTTGTGTCTTGGCTCTTGATTATAGCTCAGTTTATGATCTCAGGGTCTTGGTGTCAGGCTCCACGCTCAGTGGGGAGTCTGCTTGTGGATTCTCTCTCCCTCTCCCTCTGCCCCCCTCCCCACTCACTAGCTCTCTCCCCCTCTTTCTAAAATAAATAAATAAATATTTTTTAAAAATAAAAGGGTTGCCTGGGTGGCTCAGTTGGTTAAGTGTCTGCCTTCGGCTCAGGTCATGGTCCCAGTGTCCTGGGACCGAGCCCCGCATCGGGCTCCCTGCTCTGCGGGAAGCCTGCTTCTCCCTCTCTCTCTCCCCCTGCTTGTGTTCCCTCTCTTGCTGCCTCTCTCTCTGTCAAATAAATAAATAAAATCTTTAAAAACAATAAAAATAAAAGACAAAACTAGTACTCCTGGATTTAAGTTGAATGATTTCAGAGTTTTGTCTAGTGTGGTAAGGGACTTTCCAGCAACTGTGGCTCTCCAACAGGACACAGGTTGTCTTAAGATAACCTGAGATCCCTGTGCAAGAAGCCTTGGAGACGACCTGGAGGCCCGCTTGTGAGGGATGTTTTAAAAATAAATAGCTGACTTTGGGGGAGGAATTCCACTTGCTGTCTCCTGGGAATCTGTGATTTGGGCCACTTGAAGAATTTTCTGTTTCTTTCCTAGTTGTTGGAGACACTGCTAGATAAGAAACTATCTTTGCCCATGGGAATAAAGATAATAGTCATTGTTTTACATGGATGATCCCATTTCTTCGATGCCCGCTCAACAAAATGGGTATCTTTGGCACAGTTAAGACCATGAAGCTGAGCATTACTTTCTGTCCCCCTTCTCTGTATTTGGTCCTGTTGCTAAGTCCTTTCAAATCCTGTAGTTTGTATTGTAGATTCCCATATTTTGACCGCTCCTGCCAAGAGTAACTTCAGATTTCATTAGATCATGTCCTCATATGTCAGTATGAACAATTTTTTTTAAAAGAATTTGAGCAGAAACAGTTCACAATTTGTGTTATAATGAACATCTTTTTTTTCTAATCAAAGTCCCAGATTCTCCTCCTTTGTATTATTGTTACTTAGGTACTTTGGCATAATAAAAAATGTGATGCTTTATGGATCATTTCCAATCCCTGATGACATTTGAAGCTTTCTTTTTGCAGTTTATTTTTAATAAACTTTTTTTTCACCGTATTTATGCAACATTGGAGGTATTTTGCCAATAATGTCCCATAGTAATTTTCCAGTTGTTAAAAAAAAAAATCTGGTGATCTTGTTAAACTGTGTATTTGTACGTGGAATAATCTGGTGGAGCGAAAGAATTAGGAGCTTGTATACTGTTATTTTTAGTACTCTGTATCATTTCACCCTTTTTGTCAGAGTGGTTCCTGGCTAACTTTCCCATGAGTTTTTAACCTCTTGTGAGGCTTTGCTTATGTAACAGGAAACAGGCTGTCAGGAACAAATACTGGCATATCAGAAGCACACTTCAGTCGCAAATGATTTAGTTTGCTCTGCCCTTCTCTCTCTTAAAGTGGACCGATACATGATCTCAACTTTAAGACTTGTGGTGTGGCCTTCCTAGGTTAAAATCATTCAGTTTCAGTTTTGGAAAGGCCACATATTTGACCAAGACCAGGCATTAATCCAGGCAACAGAGAAGATGAGCTTATCATAAGGCGAATTTTGCAGTGGTGTCATGTCCTGGGACTGCGGATTTAAGTATATCTTCGCTTTTTCCCCAACTCTTAAGGCAGGAGTGATGTGCAAACTTCAGGAGAGAGATGACATCGGACGAATTGAACTGGTCCAGAAGCTGGCGAGAGAAAACTGTCAGTTTCTACAGACAGACAAAAAAGAACAGGAGAAATCTGAACACGTAAGCCCTTTTTCTCTTGGGGACGCAGGTTTAAAGGGGGTGGAAAATGTTTCCGCCTGGTTGTATGTTTGAAGGAAAAGATATTTTAAATTCTTTAGTTTTGTTTTTTCCCCAAAAAATCATCCTCCTTAGTAAAAATAACAGCTGCTCATAACTCCAAGCCTGGATTTATAATTACAACACTGGATTTATAAGAGAACTCTCCTCAAAAGTAAATCTTGTAGAAATAGAAGAATACATGTAAGCAAATCTATGAATGCTTGTCTATGATTTTGATTTGATGGCTTTCAAGTTTGACTTTGGGAATTTGACCACATCAGATAGTTTGTGGAATATGAATTTTGAAAGAACATTCTGATGTACTTTTATGTTGAGTATGGCATGGCTCTAGTTACCAAACAAATGTACCCTGAGTCAGTAGAAAAAGGTGAGTGTAGAGTAACAGATTATAGATGCTTTCACCAAGTGGGAGAGTCAGAAGGGAGTTTTCCCAGTATCTTATGAATGTTTGTGTTCCAACAAAAGTTCTATTGTTTGCATGGAGTTAAACTGGAGGAAAGGGACGCTCTGCTCGATTCTCCTGAAAGCAGTAATTCAGATCGAGCCTTAGAGCTGAGAATGTTGCCCTCATGCTGGGGGTACAATGGCACCACTTTCTTTGTTGTCTGACTTTTTGTGGTTGTTTGTAAAACTGCGCTCTCAGTGCTCAGCTATCCAGGGTTGCTCATGAAGGGGAATATTCTTCAGTGCTTATAAACATGTCTTCCTCTGACTTTAATTTTTCCTTGGAATTTTATATCCAACCCCTTCCAAAGGGGAAAAATTGCTTCATGCTTTTTCTGCCCTAAGGCCCAATAGAAACACCAGGGTTTTATTGAGCAGGAGGGGAGGTAAGATGTTCAAGGGGGCAGGCTGTTTAGTTGAACATAACATGTCTCTTAACAGTGCAACATCAGATGATAATAATTGGTGTCTCAAGGGGGAGAATAATCAAGCAGTTTCAAGGCCTTGTAACTGAGCTGTTTCAGGGATGACCATCGACTTTAAGTGGGAGTGGACATCTTAGGAGCCTTCACTTCACTAGGTACTATTGAAGACTTATTTAAATTGTTAGAAGTACCCTGACGGTTGACTATATCAAAGACTGACTCTTAATCTCTGCCATGTCCTTAGAATATTTGAGTATCCTAATGTGTGACTTAAGTTTCTCAAAACAGTGTTCCTTTTGGTTCATTTTAATTAGAAGAGCAACAGTTTTCATATGCCATATTTTGCTGATTTCAAAATGCATATTTCCCCCACGTTTTAGCATCTCAGAAATCAGAGTAAGTCTTAATGATTGATGATAGGAAAACACATCATAGTTTAACTGTGAGCATTTTTCTTTCCTAGTGGTCCTTAAAATGAGTGATATATTTTACAATGAATTGCATATTCAATTCAGTGGACCAGTGACAGCCTGAGGGTAGGGCAAGATCTTTCAAAGCCAAACTAATGGTAGAGTACCAGTTCACCAAGGCTAGAAATCATCAGCCTTAGGCCACAAACAACTTTAGGCTTATTTTAAAAGATATCAGTATTGCCTTTGCCTTGTATTTAGTTCAATCCGGAATATTATAGTTAAAGCTAATGAGACTATCGTACCCCCCCAAATATATATTAGAAATCCAAACTTGGTGCTGGTAATTGTAAACACTTCTAACATGAGGCAGAAATTTAGTGGTAGAAGATTTACAGCTTTGCTTATGATTATCTACTATTGCTATCTACTATCCCTACGGTTATCTAAAACGAAGGTTTAATCCTTCATTTGAAGACTGTAAAATAGAACACTAAGGTTTGTTACTTCTGCATGAATGTCATGATATGAATACATTAGCAGCTCTGACAGTGTTTATGCTCCTGAGAGGAAAGATGGTGTATAAATCAGCATTGGAATTGTGACATTTGCTACATCGACTTCTCCTCTGAGTAAGGAGAGGTGAATATTCAGGGTCTTTCTTCCTTAGTGATGAATATAATCCCAGCCATTCTGCCATGTCCCTCCTGCAGGATGACAGCAGTTGAACTAATCAGCTCTTGAGACTGATATTGATATCGTGTTCCACTCTGTGGTTTATTTGATACGAGATGTTTACACTTGCTGCAATAAAGTATTAGGAACAAAAACCATCTGGTAGATTATCTGACTCATTTAGGTCTTGAGCATTTGATGTAGCTCCACCTTTGCTCACCCACGGCGTTCACCGTGTTCATGAGGTGGGTACAGCGTTTGCCTCTTTCCTGCCCTCGCTCTCTTTTCAGTGCTAGTCATCTGCTCTGGCTCATGAAACCTCAGTTATAATGCGCAGGATGTACAGAGGAAACCGCAGTTTACCTAATGTAAACCCAGGCCTGCAGTTTCTTCTTGTAATAACAGTACCAGTAATGACCAAACCCCAGAGTTACATACAGATTTCCTTTCTTTGATGATTTTAAAATGCTTCATCTACCTCCTCTGCCATTCCTGGACCAAAGGTATTTAAGTAGACAATGGTAAAATTTGAGTTAGAGTCTAAGTTACCCATGGAGTTTGTTTTTTTTTTTTTAAACTAAACTACATTGCTTCTCCAGTTCTAGAATACCACATCCCTTTAAATATGTATGTGCCAAAATGAGAAATCCACTTTAAAGTACCACTGAATAGAAAAAGAATAAACCTTGTGTTGCTGGTACATCTTGTTACAAATAGAAGGAGCTTCAAGCTTTCTGAGTAGGTATTTCTCATATTTTCTCAAACTGGTCAAGACCATGATTATAAATGCAGCCAATTAGAGACACACTTCACTCTGAGCTTTTGCCCAGGTATTTCTGAAAGAAAAATATTTAAATGTATAATTACCACAAGTTTCTCAGGAAGCACTTGGTTGTGTTATTTTACATAACAAGCTGTCAGCAAAATTAGCCAGCACTCCTTACTAAGTGTCGAAAATCATTATGTGAGAACTTTTAAGAAGGGGACAGAAATTGGTTATTTCTTCTAAACATTATGATAGTGGGATTAAAATTTGGTCATTAACTCTTTAAAGTAATTACTTCTTTTGTAGGCATCACATTTCCTGGTCTTAATCTAATTGTATTAATAGGGGGAGGGGCATGTGTTACCAAATGGGGACTTTCAGCTTGACCTGGAAGGCTGACTAATGACCCCCACAGGGTGGGACAGGGCAGAGCCTGGAAGACAGAGGGACTAGCAAGAATGCACATGACTTGAGCACTGGGTGATTCATGGGGAATAAAGGGGAGTGGGTTGTGATGGAGGTTACCGTTCAGCTGCATAAGACCTGGTAAGCCACTGTAAGGAGTTTAGACTTGCCTTTCTGGCAAAGGAAGCCATCAAAGAAGGGAAGTGGCACAATCAGATGGAGTCTTTGTAAGATCTCTTTGGCATTGGCTTAGAGGAAGAAATGAGTGGAAAAGAGGAAAGTGTTAGAACCCTTGGAAGACTATTGTAGTGAGTCAGGTGAAAGATGAAAGCCTGAACCAAGGTGGTAAATGGGAAATGAGAAGGCTGTAGATGTAGATCATAGATGGCAAAATCGGCAGGATTTGATGACTGGTAACAAGGAGGTGGGAATGTGTGTTATTTTCTATTAAATGGTAGACATAAGAATGTTATGTTTAGCAATAGAGTGGTTGGTCACCTTTACCAAAAAGCTACAAGACATTTACCTTGCTTTTGTGTTCCTGCACAAAAAGCAGGAACTTTTGTGTCTGAGATACATGCTAAAGCGCAGAGTGTTTATCTCATTGGCAAATTGTGAGGTGGGGGTTCTGGCTAGCATGGGAACTACATAAACCGTCTTCTCAGACCAGACCTTTTGAAAATACCTTGGGCAGACAGACTCTCTGGTAGCCCCCAAATGAACTGGATTATTTAGCCAAAGCTTTGGCATTTGCTGCAATGATGTGTGTGCCTTCTTCAGAATTAAGTGTGATTTCAGGAATGCTCTCTTGACCCATATAGTCTGAATGCTGTTATTTTAGAGTATTCTGGGTTATTTATTCATTGAGTATACCTTTAGTAAAGCCAGTGTCATAGGGGATTCAGAATAGCTATGTGTCGGCTACCCTGAAGAAGTATAGTCACATTGTGGAAAGAAGACATTGACTCAGATAACTGAGATAGAAGGAGACAGTATTGGTCAGCCCCAGAGAGATGCAGAGAAGTTAGAAGAAGAATTTCCACCTGGGGAAACAGGATTCTCTCTTACGGTGGAGGTAAAGTTTGACGTGGACCTTAAAGTAGGTTTGGGTTGAATTAAACGATTCAGATTGAAGAAAAGCATTGCTAGCAGGGAGAACAGCATTAGAAAAAGCACAGAGCTGTCAAAGTACAAGGTGTTTTTGAACATCAGAAGCCATTCTGTGTCACCAGTGTACCACAAGTGGGGCCAAGGGGCAAGCTGATGATATTGGGACCAGACCATGGAGGATTTTGAGGGCTGAAAAGTTTTACTTCATTCTAGATGTAACGAGAAATCATTGATGACTTGGTTTTGTTAGTTTTCCTAGAAAAGGAGGAAGGAGCCAGGGGCTCTTGTGAGGTAAATGATGTCATTCAGTTTGACACATTAGAAAGCTGAGGCTGATGAGTGCCTAGGCAGAGCTGGGCTAAGAGTAGATTCAAGTCCGATGGCTTCTGGGATGTATCTTCTCTCCACAGTCATTACTGGAGGGAGGGCTGATCTGAGGCCAGGAAACCAGGACAACAAGAATCATGATAATCCCAAGAAAGAGGAAAGAGGCAGGACAATTATGTATTGAAGGGATGGTGGGGGCAGATACGGGAGGGATTAAAGAAAAGAGAATGCTAAAGTGCTTGCTTAGTTTGAGTCCTAACTTAGATTTGAAAAGCATGTAAGCTATTCATATTTTCGTATCTGTGAGATAACTGTATTAAGGTATTTATCTAGAGGTGGATCCTTTTTTTTCTTTTCTTTCCTGGAATACAACCATAC